GTCGACCTTGGGAGAGGAGCGCAGAAGGGGCAGAGTGTGCAGACGAGCTGGAGAGAAACTAAAGGTAGGAGGGGGAGGGTGGAAGGGAACAGTGAATGATGAAGAGCGAGACACTGGGATACAGCTAGTGGATGAACAGTGCAAACGTCATACAGAAGTACGTGTGAAGCATGAGCAAGCGCATAAAATCTAAATCTCAAAAACATGTTCTTAGGGCTTACATAATTCTAAAACACAATTTTTATCAAAATGATAAAAAAATTAAAAAACAAACACAATAACGGAATAACCAGGCTCAACACATGAGGAACGATAGCATCAAATATTTATGAATTCCTGGCGTGGATGCATTATGTGTATGGTCCTGCAGAGAGAAATCCCACTGCAGCCAGTAGCAGCCTGCTTGTAGAGCAGGATCAGCAAAGACCCACATGGGAGCAGATTTCAATAATCCATCTGTCGACCAGGATAGACCGATGGCCTTTTCTTAGCATTTAAAATGATTTACATTCAATGTAATCCATGGCTGATGACCTTTTACATCGTTGCAGCAAGGAGCTAAGCTTAACCGTAATGAGCAGTTTACACAAGTGTTTTGTTGTTTACACAGACACTTGTCAGCCGATTCACGTACACGGACTCAGACTGTGGTATAACAACAGCAATGTACATTTAATATGAGAAAAAATACAACTTACTGTAGGTTCAGGCTGAGAACTCATGTTTGAAATGAGGAGAGGTTAAAAAAGACATATCAGAGCGAGAGATGGGAAAGCTTTAAAGAGGCCGCCAAATTGGAGGGTGTGTTTGGTATGTGACGTGAGGAGAGCGGGGCATGTAAATGTGCGTGACACAGTACAGCTCGAGTTTCCTCTTTGAACTGACTTGCAAGCTTCGCCGAACATGTTGTCCTGTACTTAAGGCATCTCGAGATATAGACATTAAATTCCAGCTATCTATTTAAAAGCAAGGTAGTATTTACTTTTGCAAATGTTCATTACAGTGCACAGCTTTCTGCAAGCAATGATACCATAAAACAGGATGCAATGCTTTTGCAAGCTTGCATTTATTCAATCCCAGCAGAACAGAATTATTCTAATTTGACTGATACTTATATACACTTAATATGTAGAAAATAAATAAGTGGATTATGATTGTAAAGCCATAAATGTGTCCAAAATGCAAGAAACAGTAAGGTTCAGGTTGGCCCCATATGCTGTAGTGCTTCTAGTTACACTTTAAGCACTGAGATATATGGGAAGTAGGAAAGGGACACCAGGCATAGCTGTAAAATGATATTCCAGTTGGTTTTTGATTTCATCACCCAATATATGATGTTTGGGTCAGCTGTAGCCCTACCTAATCACTTCCTGCACACGTCAAATATCTTAGTAGATATTAGCTCTATCATTTTGTTTAAAAATAAAGGAAAAATAGGGTTATAGGACCAAGTCCAGTTAAACAGAACAGAATACATATTGTTAAGTCTGTTGGGGGTTACTTGTTTTGTGTTGTTTTGTTTCTACTACCAGCATCAGGCTTCAATTAAAGATTCCTTCTTTATGTTACACTGCCCCTAGGCTATTATTATACTTTCGTTCTGTGATGCCCTACATCAGAGATGGTCATCACTGTATAGCCTGGGGAGGGTTGAAGCATTGGAGTGGGTGAGGACAGAGAAAATGACTAGACAGAGCAGCAGCCTCTCAGAGAGACGCCAAGAGAGGAAAAGTCAACATCATCTTAGCAAACTCACAACACAAAGGGAGAACAATAGATCCTAAAAGAAATCCTAAAATATCAGACCGGCCTCAAAATAGACACTGAGCCACTGTTACGTCATAAAACCCCAAATACAGATTGATGCCAACCAAACGACAGTGGCTTAACTGAAAACAAGGTTTGACTATGTGTTGGCTGAAGTAGTGTGATGATTATGTCTGTGGGTGTAAAGTAAGGGCAAGGGGTGACCAGTGACTCATGCATTGCATTGTAGCATCCGTGTACATCTACTTTCTAGGCATTTTTCTCACCTATGAGAGAAAGAGGAAGGGGAGGTACTTGTTTTTGTGAAATGCTCCCCATCTGCCTGTGACAATTTGTTACCACACTCGGTGCAATGGCCCTGTTGAGAAATCAGCACACTCAATAGTTTAAACTCTCAGAACTCGCCTCCAGAAATAAGCCTCGGTGATGGATGAACCAATTACAGCGCACACGGGGATTCACTGACTAAATATGAACTGAAATGACTTGTATCATCACTGGATAGGCCTTAATCTGGAGAGAGCTCATATCTGTAAAATGCTGCGTGCAATTAAATCAAATTACGTGTGTCTTTTGTGTATTTTCGACCTTAATCGTAGGCCTACATGCAGAATATTCGATGCTTTAAATTGAATATCGATCAAGCGACTGAGCAGGTTACAGATATACTGTAGTAGCACTTACCGGTTTATATCGTGAGATCATTGTTCCAGCCTCGTATCTCTGACTTCAGAAACAATCTTCTGTCACATCCGTCGCTTGGATGTTAAAAAAAGAAAAGAGACAAAATCTCGTAAATAGCACAGTCTCATGTGTTCAGAGTGCGCCCGACTTCTCGCTGTCCTACTTGCGTTTGACAGCCCGACCGCAGGCGGTGGTTTACGGGTGACGGAAAGGAGTTGTCCACGGTGCTGACCCCGGGTACCCAGGAGGGGAAGGAGGAGGAGGAAGAGGAGGGGTTGCAGGAAGAAAGAGGCAGATCTTTCCAGCCAACCTTTGGACTGTATCATGAACCGTAGAGGTAGAACATCGGCAGCTACACGCAGCACAGCGGCCAACTGGCAGCAGACAGATGTCACGTATGAACAATGAGGCGGGAGTGGATGACTGCACAGAGCTTAGAAAAGAGGGAAGCGGAATGCTGCCCAGCAAAGCAACACAGGTGTAATATTACATGAAACCCACGCGGTGCATTCTCTTTATTTTTTGTGTTTGCCACCTTTAACTTAAACACACCGATTACAAATCTGATGCTGGCCCATTTGATGACACGGAGGATTATCTAAAGCACACGATTCCATTCGATCAGTATTCACGAAGGAGCTTTGTCGCCCCCTGTGGACATTCGGTCACAGCCCTCAGCATAACTTGCAAAAACGAGTAAATAATCAAGCAGTTGACCTCATGATCCACTTTTGAAACCAACAAAAGTGGAACCTGGTATAGTTTAAGCAGTTTCACAGTCAGCTTCAGTTATGTACAAAATCACATCAATAAGGTCCTGGATTAAAATCCACCAACTGGCAGGGTTTATGGTACCTCCATGCCCCCTCTGAGCCATCATCCATACCTTCCCCCCCACAGCCCAAAGTCATACATGTTGGGTTATCTGTTGATTGGCTGTAAGTCTCTATTCTGTATGCTATATGCTACACTTCAATAGCCCCCCCTCCATAACAGCTGGAACACCTACTCTACCAGGGATAAGCAAGGAAGAATATGGATCAATTAAGCTTAAATCATAAAAATATACAGTGTATAATGAAAAGGCATTGACACGCACTCGCATAATTATTTTTTATTTTTACTTGTATTTTTTTTGCATCACTAACTTAGAAACAGTGTTTAAAAAGGAAAACATGAAGCAGAAAAATTAGCATGCACAACACAACCTCATTTCATGTCCTTAAGAGGAGCTATTGATTACAAATTGTCTTTTTTTCCCCCCCCCTTTCTTATACTGACAGATGAAAGGAAAGCTCAGGTGTGTCTAAATTAGAAGAAGCGATGAAGATTGGTGGTGACAACTGCATATTGACTGGACCATCCATTATCAAGCCAAGACAGTGACAGCTCATATAGACAGCATGGCTCAATTTTAGAAAGAAAAACCAAGTAAAGACAAAAAGACCATGTTGGGCAAGTTGATGTGTCGTGTTGCGATTGGTGAATCGTGGAAGAATCAAAAATTATAAGCTTCTCAATTAGTCTGGTTTTCTTGGCAGGTTGTAGATGAGATCAAAAGAACGTCCTGCAAGAGAAAAGATCTGTCAGATCTACTTTATTCAACTGCATCAAACACAAAGATTAAATCCGCTGTGCTTTATTAACTGTTAACAAATGTATGCGCTGGAAAAACTTCAGTCACTTCACACTCAGCACTACAGGCCAACACATGCAGCTGAGCACCAAAAACATGAAATCATTTTATTTATCTTTATATCAAAAACACTCCAGATCCAACCCTGGGAATGGGCTGGTTTCAGAACATGTAACAGTCCCATTGAACAACATGAATCAGAATAACTGCTGAAGGCTGGCAGGAGTCCTAGGCTGCTTTTACAAGTGTCCATGACCTCATGAGGTACCACAGAGGCCTTACGTGTATGGATGCGTTTATTTATGACTCCCTGGGTTGTGATCTGACAGATATATGGAGGCACAGGTCACTGATCGCATTAGTTGTAAATGTCTTCACTCAAACAGCATGGCTTTATCACTGGACAGGCTGTCTTGAGGTGACATTTTCTAAATAAGCTGCATATTGTGTCCACATAGAGTTATTGTCACACTTTCTTTATGTGGCACTAGCCGAGCTATAACAGGAAGAGAGATTCTTTGCTTTCCTCTAAATGACAGGGAGACTGTCACATGCCCTTAAGAACAACAACAACAAAAAAAATGGGGCCAAATAAAAACAAGCGCCACACCAAACATCCCCCGGGACGTGCAGTGAAGAAGAGGAGGTTTGAAGACTACGTCGATTACCAGGATGAGGGTGAGGTACAGGAGAGGGAGGGCTAGTGCTGAAGTAGGTAGCCATGTCTGTAAAGTGTTGCACTGCCTTCAAACACCTTTCTGTTCACGGTGTGACTGACTGATGCTGACTTAGGGCTGCATACACATGCACACACACGCACACACACACACCTATAAACACCTGAACAAAATCCATTTTATTTCATTAAACTTCTAACAAAATGCTGCATAAATAATAAGAAGAACGTGAATGCTTACACTTCATCCTCATAGTCTTTTGGGGGGGCCACAGCGATCACCACATCGATCCAATCCTGGGGGTGAAAACCAATTTGCATGTGACTGAATCAATAGGAGTTATGAACTCAAGCAGCCCGACTGAATCTACAACACACACAATCAATCAGGGTTGATAAGGTTTTTAATGAAAATCAATAAAACACCATGCTGCACTAAGGGGGTGAAATTTCTACTTAACAAAAAAAGGGGGAGGGAGGGAGCATGGCGTTTCATTTAATCTGAATCTCTGGAGTCATACCCCTCCACTGCTCCAGGCTCGAGTCAGAGAGTTTTGCCCCTCAGTCAGTGTGGCATCAATCAGGATCTTCCCATTCACAGCCATGAGTTCATCCCCGGGTACAATCCCACCTACAAAGACAGATGTCACAGATATTTAACTGGGCAGCAGCATCAACAGGAGACAATAGCAACACTGTAAATGTAAAAAAAAAAAAAAATTAAATATAAATATATATATATATATATATATATATATATATATATATATATATATATATATATATATATATATATATATATATATATATATATATGTGTACACATACATATATATACTGGTGTAAACTGCTGTTTACACCAGTTTGTATTGTGCATCTCCATGTCCAGCATTTGTTCAGACTACACACTGTTGATGAGTCCGTCTGCCACTAGTCAAGCACCAGATTTGATTAGCAAACCGTGGCAAAGAAAACAAGATGCTTCAAGAACTAATGTGGATGTTTAGGTTTTCCAGCTGTTGACGCTAGCAGGACAAAGTCATGTGGCTTGTTAAGAACAAGCAGTTTAAGTAAACAGACTCAAAGACTTTGACACTTGTATTTAGCGAGTTAACCTTCACTAACATCCACCTTTGCTGAGGTCAACATGCCTGTGAATGAAGCCACTACATCAGTAGCTTTTAAAGCAAAGCTTTAAAAAACTGAAATACAGATTTTTAGAAATCATGACATGCAAGTGTGGAGATTAAAAATGAACTAACCGTGCTTATCAGCAGCACCACCCTCATACACTGCAGATACCACCAACTTCCCCAAAGGAGAGTCTGCTCCCCCCTCCAGCGCCAGGTCAAGGTTTCCATCCTTAAGAATGATAAGCAAACACACCATGAGTCGTTTTCTTGAATATCTTCCTTTTCCTCTCCTCACAGCAACAAAGGCTCTGCCTACCTTTTTGATTCGCAGCTGCCTCACATCTCGGCCGGCTATCTGGTCCGCAGAGAACTATGACAGAGAAAGGATCGCAGATGGAGAGGCACAAACTAACTGATCAATAAAACGAATGAGGTGGCAGCATAATGAATAGCTCGCTACTCTTTGAACATGTGTTTAGCCACAAACAAAGAATATTTAAAATGCAGGACTGTAGGGAAAAAAAGAGATCACTGCAGCTTTTTAAGTTAATGAAAAGCTGCCTGTTTCACATCAAACTGTTAATGATAATTATAATATGTTTGATCTATTGGCTAGCTACCAGAAATTAGTTATGCAGCAGTATTTAGTCTAGTTTATTTACCGGCTGACACCTGTCACTTATTGATATTATTACTAAATTAGTTTTTTAACCTATCATTTTCTCCCACTTTATAAATTGTGTCAGCAATACCAATTTTTAATGACATCACTAGGTAAGTAATTAGGCCTATCAGCTGTCTTGATTATCTACTGATCACATGCTTGTAAACAAAACCATTAACTTTATATTTTCACAAATATAAAAATGATGGATCTCTAGTGGTCAAATACAGTAAGACCATTTTTGTTGCTTAAAAGGTTGAATTTTGAAAGTTTGATTTTGATTGATAAAACTGTTGCTGAGATATGACTTTACATCTTTTTTGAAGCCTCACTGCATATTTTAATAGACTGCAATAGCAGAAAGCTTAAAAAAAGACATGATTATATAGGGTCATATGCTATAATGGCTTTTGGGAGGATTTGTCAAAGAATCATCTGCTTTTGTAAGAAACTTTGTGGCTCGTGAAAAAGCAGAAACTGAATTTTGGACTGAATTCCTCTAAACAGTCTTTATTTGTGATTTTATACTATCTGCAGCACATTCTGCATAGCTGTAGTGTTAGGCTTGGCCATACGATACCATGGAGTAGGGGTCAAAGTCATCCACATATTTCTGAAATCCCTGAAAGAGAATCAAAAGCCAGTTTATTAAAAATGATCAATATGTCAATAGGAAGTTAATAAAGAGCACATCACTGCAGACATGAGCTGTTTAACAAGTCACTGCATGGTGTGCTGGCCAGATTTCCTTTGACAATCACTCCTATGTTGATCTGATAAAGGGGAAACACAGTCATTTATTTTAAAAAAGCACTTCGGCTTTTAAGGCGTTACACAGTTGCTTTGAAAGCCTCACCCCTTAATTCCGTTATCAAGACAATAATTCACACTAACATGCACAGGCAGAAAAAACTCACAAATCATTCTAAACGGCTGTTTAATTTCATAGGAAGGAAACGAGCAAACGGACATCACATTTACGCAGTTATGAGTCAGAGAGGCTCATTTCCTGTTGTTACACAGTGGCTCAAAGTTGGACATAGAAGACGAACTCATTGGTAATGTACGTTTTGATTTGCTGTGGCTGGAGAGAGGAGCCATCAAGCAATGCAAACAGGTGTAGTGTTTAAATATTAAACTAAAGCCATATGAAAGCGTAAAGCAACCGTGTTCCTTTCTTCTGGTTATGTAGACTGTACAAGAAACACGTAGACAGATATTTCAACCACTTGGAGTCTTCAGTGAGCCTCTATGAGAGAGTTCAAAGCATCACTTGCCATCACTGCTGTAAAACCAAACCTTTGACATGCATTCCTTTATGGAGTAGACAATATCATCATCTACTCCAAATCAATAGAAGCTCAGCTACATCAAAAGACAGTGATGCACATGGGGAAAAATGAAGAAGCCATCACTGAGGTTTCACTCAATAGCCAAACCTGAGGCGTAAGCATGGAGATTAAAAAAAAGAAAAAAAGAACAGAAGAAAAGCACTGCAGAGTATTAATGGAGAAGTTGACATATGGATTACTTGTCGCTTGTTGTTTGTTTTAAAAGACGAGTTGAAAGGCACCATCCGTTTCAACATTTCAGGAGGCTGAAACACAAAAGCAGGTAAAGACTTTTAGTCCAGTCTGAACACTTTAAAGATGAAACTTTAGACCAGGTTGAGCAGCAGTGTGTTACTGCCCCCTCTGGTTCAAAGTCCGGGTGACTTCTGACCACATTTAGCTACATTTACCTGTAACACAGTTTCAGCTTACCATCGCTGGCTGTTTACATTGACATTACACTATGCCAGCAACTAACAATTGCTACTAAGAAACTGATGGTTTTATTGATTACAATAAAACAAAAAAAATATTAATTCTATTAATGCCATCAAATGTTTTGTTGTGCCCAAAAATGCCTGTTTATTATGAATAATAATCACTTAATGGCTCATTTCAGCATATCAGTGCTGAAGTGTGTTGTGTTGTGACTCTGTGACAGTTACTGGAAAACAAAGCTGTTCTTTTGAATTTTAAAATGCAGATTTTAACATTCATAGCCTGCCCAGTTTGATCCAAGTTTATTACAAGAAGATTAACTGGTCACCTTTATAATATGAAAACTACAGACTGGGAAACAGCTGGAGAATCAGGGAAACTCATCAGGAGTCTGAGATGAGGCAAAGAGTAATTCTTCAGCCGGCTGATGGCATGCTGTGTCAAAAGTCTGAATGTCTGATGACCCTTTTAAGCTACCAATGGTTTTTATCTTGAGAATATTCGAAAATTCACTGCAGTGTAATGTGTTTATTACCAGGCCATCAGATCGTAGAGCAGGTCTGTGTGGATCTGGGCGGTGGGTCTGTGACTGAGGCAGCATGACAGGCTTAGACATGACCGGGGCCATCTGACGCCTCTGATTGGGGGGACTGGGAGCTAGTTGCTAATGGGGAAAGACCAGGTTTCCAAGCAACAACTGAGCAAAGGGTAGTATTGAAATATATATATTTGCTTATTTGGAAAAGCACATTATTTTAAATGAACAAAAAAAAAGAAAAGAAGAAGGTGCGATTACAAACGTCAGCATGACCTTTTGCAGCAAGACTCACCAGCGGGCTGCTTGAAGTTGAAACACGACTGGCATGGGATGTATTTCTCATTACCTGAGCCACAGTGGAATATAATGAAACTTTCAGCCCTCTGGCACAAACAGACCACTCAGGAAAATATCAGCGCAAGACACTCCAAGACCCACACCCGTTCTCTCAGATATCACACCATGGCTGAGAGTTCAAAAGCATCTACTGCCAACCCCAGAGGCCCAACTGCACACGCACAAACATAAGAAGAAAGAAGAAACCACACACTACAAAGAAACACAAGCAGCTCACTGTAGATAGAACGTGCTGCTCTCTCTTCATGCATTAAAACATCCGAACACATAAGAGACGACATGCACCTAAACCTACGCATTGAAGAAAAACTAATGTTGCTATTGAAGATGTAGCAATCTACATCTTCAATAGCAACTCACATGTTTCACACATGAGGATCTCTGACCTTTGGACTGGAGGGGTAGGACATTTCACTAGTGTTAGACGAGTAAATCCCTCCTCTGGGGAGATATCTGCCTGCCTCCCACTCACTCCTGGGTTCTGGTGGACTGGGGGGATGCTGGTGATGATGGTTTTGGTACACTCTGATGGTGCCAAGTTGTTCTTCAGAGTGCTGTGGAGGTGGCGGTGGTGGAGGAGGTGGGGGCGGCGGAGGAGGAGGAGGGGGTGGGGGCGGAGGGGGCCGGGGAGCAGGTTGAGGGGACGATGGAGGTCGCGACACACGAGACGGGTAATGAGAGGAAGGTTGGGGGTGCGGCTGAGGTCTCAGCCTCTTATTCGTCAAAGTGGATGAGGCAGATGGAGGTTTCCTAGCATTAGGTGGGGAAGGGGGCCGGCGCTGTGGGGACGCCTGAGAAGGAGAGGGGGGATAGTTATGGATGGTTGGATTCAGGTTGGGCGAGCGTGGAGGGAGAGGCAAGGGAGGGGGTGGCTGGCTGGTGCTGGGCTGGGTGGGGGCTAGTCTTTTTAATGGGCCCCTCAAGCTCTGATCCACTTCGTCCAGGTTAATGTCGTCCAGATCAGTGGTGGCCAGGTGAAGACCACCAGGAAAACGCTTCACTTTTGGCTCAGAAGCAGGGGAGCGTGGCGGGGAGAGCTTAGAAGTCAGAATGAAATGGAAAAAATTTCACCTCACGTTAATTCACCTTTTAAACCATTTCACAATGAATGCACCTTAAGAAAAAAATACCGCCTGAACTTTTCTACCAAATTACACAAAAACATGACTGGCTGAATATTCTGTTCAACAAACAAATGACTGCATTTAATATTCAGCTCATGGTGCAGTCTCCCTGTTTTTGTTCCATGCAAATGAGTGAACCGATGCCACCTTGCTCATTATTGTTGGGCTGCTGTGCCTTCAAAGCAGTATATATATGTTCTTTAACCAGTATTTTAAACATTGCATATAAAATTACATTCAGACAGAGGAGGTCTCACTCTGTACCTCGGGGGATTCGTTCTCCACACACGAGATCTGCTCCAGTCGTGTCTGACATAGACGCTCCACCCAGTGCTGCACCTTTTCTGACTCCTCTAAGTCTTCTCTCTCCGTCTCTGAAACCTGGTACAGAGTCAGAGCCAGGCAGCATCACACAACAGGAGTCAGTCCTTCACGCATGCTTGCACGCTGATCTATAAAATAACCGATGTATGCAGCTGAACTCAGCGCTTGCTCCTCTGCACCCCCTCCACATACCTCCTGAACCAGCCGACTGATCTTGAGTTGCTTCTCTCGCTCGTGCATCTCTTCCTTCTCTTTGGCGAGTTTCAGCTCAAACTCCATCTCCTTCTTGTTTTTTCTCTGCTCCTGCAGTGTGTCTGTGTTGGACACTTTCTTCTTTTTCTTCTTTTTGTCTCCTTTCTGACATATCACCAGTTAGTCAGAATACAAGGAAGGAACGGGGACAGGCAAATCTGCCAATCCAAACTCAAAAGCACTGCAGGCAAATAAAGCCTAGTGATACCACACAGTGTATGAATAAAAAACCCTAGCAAACCACTTTCACTTAGTGAATAAAGTTAAAAGCAAAAGCCCTGATTTTAAACGTCTAACCAACACTATAAGAAGACATCACAGCAAACTGAACCCACACAGCTGACAGTACCTTGCGTAATGATGGCAGTTTCCCCTCATATCGATAAAACCAGCCAAATGCTAAAGACAGAAATGAACAGGTCAGGCTTACAAGGATGATTTCAGATTAAACAGTGACATCAAACTCCATCATCCCAGCCAAACAAAGCACTCAAAGAGAGAAATGAATCCATTCATGCTGTCCAAATAAAAAAAATGAAGTTGTAACTGCATTTCAAGTGATGCAAAACATGTGCTGGCATTAACTTTCAGCAGCTTCTACCAACAAAAAAAACAAAAAAAACAGCTGGGGTAATAATACAAACATAAGACTCCCATTGTGAAACTGTGATTGGCAAAGGAAATCCTGCACTTGTCTTTGCATTTGCTGCTTCGCGCAGACATCCACCTACAACAGCTGTCACAATGTCAGCTGAGGCCCCACACTCACTTCTCTGTCCTCCTCGTCCTCCTCATCCTCCTCATCTTCCTCATCTTCCTCAGCGAAAGAGTTGACTTCATCAGCATAAAGAAGAGGTCATAAAAAGCAGCACAGCACACAGCAGCGGCAGAGAGAGAGAGAGCGCAGAGAAACTGGGTGAATGAAGTAAAACACGAGCGCCTCGCTGGTTTCAGAACGAAACACAGGATTCATGCATTTTAAAAAGAAGACACTGCTGTCGGTCCTTACGAGAACTTTTGGCCTTTGGAGTTGGGGTGGTTCTTGGTGATGGGACCTTTGGACTGGATTTAGGGCTCTTGGGTCTGTCAGTACCATAGTCCTCCTCCCACTCTCTGTTGTGTTTTTTCTCCATAGCTTCAATCCTACAGAGATGTACGAAATTATATACACATTTAAACAATATTTGCTTGGAAGTTCATCACATTAAAAGTAATCATTTGTGCACCTTTCCATTTCCTTCTGATAACGCTCCTCCTCTTCTGCAGCTTTCTGAGAGAGCTCCATCTTTCGTCTATAAAACAAACCAATATCTTCCGTTTACACAACATGTTAGTGTACTGGGCTCTAATCAGCAACCAGTGGGCGAAAGGAATATAGATGTTACTTTGACACCCATGAGCCAGCTAAATAATCTAGAGGCAACCCATCGGCCTGCAAAATCCCCAGAGAGCAGTTAATTAGGATTCCCACCCCCCACGATCGATCCAAAGGATCCTCTGCCAGCATCTCGTGTCCATGCTTTGACATTTAGGTGACCATCGTGGTGCAGGTGGTTTTACTGCTTTGGCCATTTGGTGTCTGCAATTACAACTTGTCTCCTTTTGCGTGTCAATTTATAATATACACACATATTATTCATTCCCAGGTATTGTTGGAGATGAATATTACAACTGAAAGCACTGAGGTTATCAAGTGTATCCTCTGAATTTACAAGCAGCGGGCTAAATTTGTAAATGATTTAATAAAGTGAACATTATAAGATGTATAAGTTAGATTAAAGAGTATTCCTGTGTATTTGTTGATTAATGTTTCTGATGCACACAGCTGGTCATTTTTGCAATCATCTGTTTGTAGATCAGTGGGAAAAGAATAAATAAGTAATCAGTCACTAATTGACTGACTGGATCCAGAGAAGACTGCTTTCTGGAAAATATTGAGGGAACATCAGTCAACGCCTTTCCCATTAGATGATGACATTTCATCTCTGATTATTGACCCAGTTGTTAGTTTACTTTGTACACTTGAGGGCATACTAGGCTGACAGCAGTGCTCTGTGAATGATCACAAAAAATAACCTTCCAGCTGATGAACTGAGTGTCTTTGTTCCCCTGTTTGTTACAATAACAAGTAGCAGCATTTTAATCATTGAAAAAGCCTCCTATTGATGTTCGTTATTTGCATAACATTTGCCCGGAGTTCCCATATTTTTGCATAAATTGTTTCATCTGCTTACAAAGGTAGTACACTCTCATTGCCTGATATTGTCTGTGGTTTCAGTATGACCATGCCTTAACATTATGAAATGTAATGAAGGGGAATTTGATAATAATTCATTGGCAATATTTTATTAAACAGCCCATGATTTTCACATCCAGCTGCAGGAGCAAAGTCAGGGGACCACTCCACACAACCAATGGTGAAGCCTTTTAGAGGGCTAAATTTGCATCTAGTAATTGTGTGACATTTTATCACAACAATTTTTTTGTCAGTGTTCTGTAAAATTTGTTGTTTGCACATTTTAATGGTGGAAAAACTCATTTAAATTGTAATTTACTTTCTTTATTGATTTATATAGCACTCTTCACAGGATAAAAACCACAAAGTGCTTCACAATAATATAAAACAGATAAACGTACAATCAAACATACAGCACAAATCTAATTAAAAGCTAGTCTGAATAAGTGAGTCTTAAGATGATCTCAGGATCAAATTATCTCAGGATCTTTATCAACAACCCACATAGCAAAATTGGTATGGTCCGGGTCTGGCCCACACAATGTGCTTACACATGGCCCACATACCGCAAAGAATGACGGCCCTTTGGTGGCCCAGACCTGGTTTGCCAAAGGTGGCCCACATATGGGCCAGCACAAGGCCAGTTGCAGACACACTGGTGGTTTTGCTGGCCCATGTGTGGATTACCTCTGGCAAACCTTGTCTGGGCCACCAAAGGGCCGTCATTCTTTGCGGTATGTGGGCCATGTGTAAGTTGTGTGCAGCCACGGGCCAGTTGCAGACACACCGCTGGCCCAGAACAGTTTCAGCTCTGGCCCCAGATGTCAGCCTAATGTGTACCTTAATTAAGCCATGTAATAACAACATGTTAATAATAGTGCAAAAGTAACATAATGAAACTCTGTTCAGACAGTGAATGGCCTGATTCTTATAGAGCATTTTTCAACTCTCCTAACCACACACTTTCTCTTAACTGAGTGCTTCCTAACTACATTCATACTCACGACATGCAGACTGGAGGACCCAGGGATCGAACCACTAACCTTCCAATCAATAGGTGACCTACTCTACCACCTGAGCTACAGCCACCCACTGGCAAAAATGAGTAAACCCTCACTAGGTTTTGGACAAAGTGTACACTCACAAACCTGTCAAACCTGCATTAGTGGGACTTCAGGAAGCACACAGCCCCACTCCCCCCCATCATCCTGACTGACACCCTCATCACCTCTGTGGACTCATTCCGCTTCCTGGGTACCACCATCACCCAGGACCTGAAGTGGGAGCCCACCATCACCTCCGTCATTAAGAAAGCCCAGCAGAGGATGTACTTCCTGAGGCAGCTGAAGAAATTCAACCTGCCAACACGGACGATGATGCAATTCTACACTGCAATCATCGAGTCCATCCTCACCTCCTCCATCACCGTGTGGTACGCTGGAGCCACTATCAGGGACAAACAGAGACTGCAGCGTGTTGTGCGCTCTGCTGAGAAGGTGATTGGCTGCAGACTCCCATCTCTGCAGGACCTGTACACCTCCAGGACATTGCGGCGTGCAGCTCGGATCTCAGCTGACCCTTCTCACCCTGGACACAGTCTGTTTGACCTGCTCCCCTCAGGCAGGAGGCTCCGGTCCATTCGCACCAGAACCTCTCGCCATAAGAACAGTTTCTTCCCCTCTGCTGTTGAACACATGAACAATAACCGTATGACTGTTCCCAACACTAACACATGACCCTACGCTGTGTTCACTGCATCATTCCATGTTTGGCACTGATCACCACCTGCACTCATGTATATATCTATCTACTTAGCACTTTTAATTCTTATTCTTATTTTTATGTCTATTTTAGCGTAATTTATGACAGTATGTTTGCACTGAAGCACCGCAGCAATTTCCTGATGTTGTAAACCTGCTCAACATTTGGCAATAAAACCCTTTCTGATTTGAAATGTTGGCTTTCATAGAAGTATAGTATTACAACATGGCATTTGGGTCTTCTAACTAAAATAGTCAAATAGGAACATAAACAGTGCCATCATTGCCAGACCTGCCCCACATCTGGTTGACATACACTCTGCCATGAGACCGGTCAGTCAGAAGTGCCAGCTTGATGCCAGATCCGGGCCAGGCCTGTTTTCTATGAGCCTGGGCCACATAAACCAAACCACAATCGAGCCAGATATGGCATGCCATCACATAGACATTGCCATCTATGCCAGGCCTGGCCCATATCTGGATGGAATACGTCTTATCATGCCAGAAGTCAACCAGCAGTGCCGGCTTGATACCAGATCGGGGGCCAGACCTGCTTGCTATGTGGGAAAGGAAAAATAATAGACTGAAGGGTACATATATGCTTATTATCTATGGTTAGTCCCATGAGTATTTGGACAGTGACACAGTTTTTGTAGTTTTGCCTCTGTACGCCACCACAGTGGCAAAGAATGAAGACACAACTTTACTTCAGAGGGGTTATTATAACTGTTTTGGAATTAGATGGATTTTTACACATATTCACCAACTTTCAGAGGCTCAAAACTAACTCTCGGGGGTTTTATAACCAGGTTAGTGACATCTTTTGATTTGAAATCCATGGTGGTATTGCACACAGCCAAACTGTAAGATTTGGTGAACATTTCCTATTTTCCACTCAGAAAGACCATTAGTGGGGCATCAGCTGTTGTTTTACTCTAATAAAAAGTCCAGCAGACACAAACTAACATCCATATTCATTTGGACATATTGTTCAGGTGCTTCTAAAGCGCAGGTGTCGAACTCCAGGCCTCGAGGGCCGGTGTCCTGCAGGTTTTAGATGTGTCCTTCATCCAAGACAGCTGATTTAAATGGCTAAATTACCTCCTCAACATGTCTTGAAGTTCTCCAGAAGCCTGTTAATGAACTAATCTTTGATTCAGGTGTGTTGACCCTGGGTGAAATCTAAAACCTGCAGGACACCGGCCCCCGAGGCCTGGAGTTTGACACCCCTGTTCTAAAGAATATGATTCCAATACGAACAGTTTTTTAAGTTTTTGGCTTCTTGTTGCCTAGAAAGACACCGTGAGAGCACTGATAAAGTTACTACAACAAACATTTACATGTCATATTACTGATGACCTATCTATAGCATAAAAAAATATCTTAGTGGCATTTACATTAGTAAGGCTTTCTCCTGTTAGGATTACCTGAAAACAAAGTGTGATCCAAAGCCTAAGTAACATCTGTTTGAACAGAGTCAGATCAACGTCGTACCTTTGAAGTTAAAGCGACAGCAAGCTTGCTAACTAGCATGAAGTCAGCATCTTGCATTACAACATAAACTATACAACTCCCACCATACACTGCAGAAGCTCCATCTCGTGTCAGGACAAGGTTAATTAGACGTTTTGTGCTGTTCACTCACTGTCTCTCCTTCTCCTGCTGCTCTTTAATGATTTTGTTGGTCTCCAGTGCCACCTTCTTCTGGTGCATCAGCTCCTTCCTCTCCACGTCCCTGCGGGCCTCCAGTGCCAGACGCTCCTCATCTGTCATAAACAGCTCACTGCCCTGAGAGAGTGAGAGCCACAGACAGTAATGACGGAAAGACATACAGCAGGGGTCCTCAAACTTTAGCTCTGGAGACTGACAGGCAAGTCCAAACCAGTCTCTCTGACCGAGAACAGAGGGGAGATGTCAGTTTTTGGAACCTGACATCCTTGAAGCCTCTCAGAATCATTGAGTAGATCAGCAATTTCTATTACTGGTATATAATTACAATATCCTGTGTTGTCCTTATAGCTGCATCTCTTCTTCTTTTTGGCCCGAGTGTAATTAACTGAAGCAGGTGCTGAACTTAAGAGCAGTCACACCCTAATGTCTGGGTTTGTGGCATTGTTCATACATTCTTCTGTTATTGTAACAAGTCTCGACCCTGGATTCATCAGACCCTTTTTTTTCTGTCGTGTCCTGTATATGTCAGTCTTGAAGCGTTTGTCCTTGTTACCTCTGCTGAGAAGTGGTACAGAGACCACTAAACATCCCTCAAGACCACATGCATCTTTTTGTGACCTTGGCGTATTGATTTTCTGATGGTGTGCTCACTTTTTGGTGCTCTTGCATGTTTTCAAATGTCACAGTACTGATTAATAAACAATTTTCTGCAGATAGCATGAGGTATAGCCACATAAAAGCAGGTGAAAATGGCTTCTGATTTACATCAGCATTAATTATACACACTGTTTCAGCAGAATAGCTCTAACTTAATTTTAAATTCATTGTATACTGCAATTTTGTTATCCAACTGCTGGAACAAAACGCTATAAAATGCATTCTAGAGGTATACTTTATATCACGGTGTTACACTGCATATTGCAAATGTTCTGGATGATTTAATGCTGCAGGGTTCCCCAAATATGCAGAAAAATAACATCATACCAATATGAAAAGCCGCCACTAAAGTGTCTCTGACCTGAAGGTGATTTACTGCACACGTCCAAACAAAGACATACTCACAGATAACGACATTAGACGGGCACCAAGGAAATAAATAAATAAGATGTGAATGCCTGTCTCTGTTACACAGGCCTCATGACTGAGTCCCAGAGCAAACAACATGATGAGTAACTTGACTGATGATAAATGTCGCTCCTGCAGACAGCGGGGCTACAGCACAGGCTGGTGCTGTTATGCCTCCAAAACAAACAGACAGATTAATCTGAGCAATGCAGGAATGTAAAGGAGAAACTAAGCAGGAGGCAGAAGTCTCTGTCTCTTCGTCCATGACAGATGATCCTGTAAGTGTTTTACTTTCTCAGAGGAACCTGCTTTCTCAGAAGTTGCTTCAAAACTGAGGAAAGTGATTTTATCTGAAAGGTTTCTCCACATCTGCATATTATTCTGTAAAGTTATGCAAAATAGTAAAAGATTTTGCCCTTATTAACTTCTTAAGCCCCGAGCCTAACTGATCTCCTGCCTTTTGCCCCGTATCAGGGGGACAGAAGTTAAATATCAATGAAATTTGACGATTCATATGTGACTCGATCGGGGCTTGCTAGCGTTAGACTCTTTATCAAATCCATCTCATTGCATATGGGTTTGATTAAACAAGCTGCAGTAAAAGCATAAACTAAAATTTTATGCACTTATTAATTATATACACTCATTGGACGCTTTATTACATACATCTAACTAGTACCAGATTGGACCCTTATATCCAATGAAAGATGAATTGCCTTCATCTTTCACTGCAATTAATTATTTTAAGGTGTCGGACACATTCCTTAGAGATTTTGGTCCATATCGATATGATGGCATCACACAGTTGTTCCAGATTTGTCAGGTAGATGTGGTCAACAGCAATGTTCAGGTAGGCTGTGGCAGTTAAACGATGCTCAGTTTTTAATAATGGGCCCAAATTGTGCCATGAAAATATCCCCCACATCATTACACCAGCAGCAGCAGCAGCAGCAGCAGCCTGACGTACATTTGTATTCAAAACAAGAGTGTACTTACAGCTCCTGCCAGAACTGTAATAGTCAAACTTCTGCTGCTCTTCAGGACTTTCACGGCCTGGAAATGTTGAAACAGAGGATTTTAAATAGCACTTGTAAAGTTCAGTTTTATGAAATTAAAGAGAAAAAAAAAACAGACAATTTCTGGAGCCCGCGTTGTGTGTCCTATTTGCATTCATCGGCGTGTGAATTATTCAGTTAAATATAGAAACATGCTGCAAGCTTGGTTTTGGCCATCAGCCACAGGAAGGATTTTTGCTGGTTAAACACTAATTTGGCTTTGGTAATGCACCTCAGTGATTTAAGCTGAGAACAAACACAAGCAGTGAGAGAGGGCTTAACTTTTACTACCATGAGAGGCATAGTTTTTTAAAAACAAAGAAATTTTAAAAAAGGAAATAAAAACATATAAAAATAATTAAATTAAGCAAAACATACGTCTCTGTGGTCCATGTTAGTGAAATCCACTCCGTTCACCTCCACAATCTGGTCTCCAGCCTACATTTTGATACGACGGACATATTCACTGTCAATAGATTTACGAGTATCATAATTTAATACAATCTCTGCAGTCTTTTAGAAAAAAATCACCTCAAGCCCAACTTCTGCAGAGAGGGAGCCTGGCTTGACGTTACTGATGTATATACCAGGTTTTTGGGTTGGACCACTGGATATGCTGATGCCCATGCCCTTGGTACCCACAAGACTGAGGAAAACTTTCTTCTCCTTGATCTCCTTTCCTCCAATGGATGCCAAACCGGCCACACTGCTTTTTTTCTCCTTGAAGAGTACAGGAGAAGTCTTTTAGCTGGCTGGTAAACAAACACCATTAAGAAGAAAGTAGCATTTCATCTCTCACCCCCGATTCAGAAACAAACTGGTCGACAAACTGCCACTTCAGGGGTTCATCTGATGAGCTGGAGAAATGAGAAAAAACTATGAGAATTCAGCCCTGCACAGCAGCAGTATTCTAGAGCACGGCACAGTTTGTTACAACAGTAATACACAAGTGGATTCATATCTCACGTTTTCACTGGGATCATCCCCACGTCTGCACAGAAAAATAAGTAAGATAACACAAGTTAGATCACTTTCATGTTAGCAGGTAATGGCACTACTAATGGACACAAAGTCTGTGGTTAACCTACGTCGAACTTTGAGTGACACGACATTCTTTGTCTTGATGAGACTGATGACCTCCTCGTGGATACAGGAGGAAATAGAGTATCCATTGATACGCACAATCTCATCACCAACCTATATATGAAGACAGGAGAATATATCATAGATGAGAAATTAAATGTCATTATGTAAGTGGTTTACAGTCAAATGCTTCCTTCATAAGTCTATTTTACACTATGTAAGGCCGGTTTAAAACACCACACACTTGCAATAAAAAAAAATCTATTCAGTTAAAATTTAAAATCTCCGATTGAAGATTCTTGTATTTGATTAGGCCAGAAATGATCACCATTATCAAAGGTCTCAGTAGTAGTAAAAAGTTACTTTGTTATAACAGTTATAAAAAAAAGCTAAAGCACAAAATGTAAAAAAAAAAAGAAAAAGAAAAAGATTAAGTACAATGGTATATATATATAAAACATGAATTAAATAAAAGGCTCCATGACAAAACAAAAAAAAAATACTGGCAAACACCAGCGCTACCCCTCAGCCTCCTAGTGGACACACTGTGGTATCAATTTTAATCTCCTACGTTGCCTCGTCCTCCAGTTATTGCATTCATGAACTTGGGTGTCCACGTCACCCACCTGCCCACCCGGTGGGGTAATGACAATACCCAATTAGCTTTTGACAGCAGAGGGGTAAAAACTAAACAGAATTTTAAATAAATATAACATAAGATTAAATGGAAAAAATAAGCACTAACTGAATTTAAGTTTACTCTTTTACTGACATTTTCTGTTTGTATTCAACTAGAACTAGGAATATTAAATCCACCCCCATTATAAAGAGATATAATTATTCCGCATGTGGATAGATTCGTAAATAGTGCTGTAACCCCAGTCTGTATACTCATATTTTTTTTAAAGAATAAAAAAATCTGTAGAAACAAACATAAATTATAATTATAGTACCTGTAGGCCCACATTATCAGCTTGTCCCTCTTTTATAATCTGGGATATATAAAGACCACAGCCAAACTCAAGCCCTCCTCGGACGCTCAGACCTAGACCATCACGATTAGTCCGATCCAAACGCACCTCTTTTAGCTTCCTGCACACATCAGGTGAGAGAGGAAAATATTAAGCAAGATGTACAAGCCAACATAAGGTGAATGCATGCCAGGGTCAATAACTGCATGCTAAAAAGGCAATAAATAACCATGTTGTACTCACCTTGACCTCTTGGGGGTGAGCAAGTCATACTCCACCTGGTGTTTGAGAGGGATGAGAGGTCGGATGGCGTCAAACAAGGGGAGACGCTTTGGTTCGTTAATTACCAGCTTTAGGTCTCCCACCAGCACTCGCAAATCCATCGACCTGGAAAGTGAGAGGAGGATAATTAGCGGTTTCACAACAATTTACCACATCTGCTAATTTATGCAATTACAAAACGCTGAAAGCTCCCCTTGAAAACCAAACAATATGAGAAAGTCTGCAAAAAAGGGATTTCCAAAAAGGCTGGGATGCTGTGAAAAATGTAGATAATTATTTAAACTCATATTTAATTGTTTCAAAGAGCTATTGCTTAGTCATTTTTGTTTCATAATATGCCAAATGGTTTTCAAAGCATGATATGTCTGGAGTGCAGGTGGGTCAGTTTAGGAACCAGACTCTTTTCCTGATCCGTGTGGGATTTTTCCCTTGACACTGACAAGGAGATGAAAATCTCACTTCTATCAGAGTCTAAACACCTGATTTTTAAAACGTTTGTACTTTACCTTCTGCACCAACTGATGCAATTGATCAGGATTTACAAAGCAATCTCTCTAGAGCCACAGGCATTTTCTCCTCACAATAAAAAAAACAAAAAAACCATCCAAATGTCCCTTTGAGTATTTTTTTAATTTCAGGATAAAGGGCAACTGGAACAGCAATTAACGCAGCAAAGTAAATGCTATGGTATGAAATTCTTCCAGGTCACCTTCCTTTTGAATAATTAATATGTGCCATTTTAGCTCCATTTGGAGGTTGAACATAAAAAGAGCTTTTGTTGATAACTGGCCAGGCTTGTCGGAGCTCAGTGGAAACTGATCAGAGGCTTAACCAATAGGGTCACAGGACTGTGCCTCTGTACAAAGATTAATTGAAACCTAGACCTATCCCTCCCCCCTCTCATGTCCTCCAGGACCACATTTTCATCAAAAAAAACACGACCCAGAGGAGGATTTGAACCAGAGTTCTGCGAGCATTAAAACTGTCAGGGACAAGATTAATGGCTCCTAAATATTATTCATGAAAATATTAAAAGCTAGAGAAAACATACAGAAGCAGAAGAAGATGTTTTTTGTATTTAAATCTATACAGATACTACAAAGACCCATACATGCCTACAGTTCCTTCGTTGTAACTCTTTTTGGCTATAGTTGTGCAAAGTTATTTAAGGACATAATCTATTCCATAATCATCAATGTTTTAGTCATAAAGTGTGAAAAATCAGTGAGGAAATACAACACACACTCTGTAGACATGCTGAGCAGTGACAGATGGTACTCACTGGTGATACATGCGGAGGACGTCATACAGGTAATCCTTTTCTGCTTCATTTTCAATCAGCAACTCCACCTGCAAGAAAACACAAGCATCTGGTATCATCCTTCTTCATTAAGGCCCCTGAAACACACTGTATCTCTCCCCTGTTTTCCTGTCAGCTACAGGGGGTGAGCCGTGTGTGTGTGTGTGTGTGTGTGTGTGTGTGTGTGTGTGTGTGTGTGTGTGTGTGTGTCCGAGTCATACAAACCTGATGACGGTTCAGTTGCAGCAGGATAGTTTTAAGGAACCGTTTGGGCCAGTCGCTGATATAACACATTTTACCATCTGTCTCCAGCAAAATCTCTCCTATAATAAGCTGAAAGCCTCACTTTCTAAGACATTAAAGTTCAGATAACTCCCTGGATGTCCATGTGCTAAACGTGTAATGGGCTGCCCATGTCTAACCATCAAACCCCTGGGAGGAAATAATGGCCACAGGGATGAGGAGAGGCTGCAGTAGGAAGGTCCGGAGTGTCACCTTACATCTCAAAAAGAAGTAAACATTCACACACGCACGCCTCATGTTGAATAATCAGACCTCAAATTAAAGAACAGGCATCATAGAGCACACACCCTCCAAGGACCATTTCTGCAGGGGTTAAAGTTAAGGCAGCGCCACTGAGCCACACAGGGTGTGTGAACGGTCATAAACTTCTCTTTTTCCTGCAGACTGAGCCACATGGACCTTGGCACCATAAACCAGTAAAGTATAGATAACTTGTTAGGCAGACAAGCATTTCTGGTTTAAAGATCAGAACTGTTTTCATACAGTGAGCTTCTCTGTCACAGTGTAGTACCTACAGAATAAAAATGTGTGACTTTTATGCAAATAAAAACACAATAAAATTGCACAATAATCCAATTTTCAGGCAAATCAGACCATAAAACTGACAAACATCCTCAACCAAACAATTAAGACAGTGCCGCAAACAGAAACAAAGCCCATTTGTGCCTCATTCACCCCTCAGCCTCTAATTAAACCCGTAAATTGTCGCATCTCTTCCGCTTAGCTGCTCGTATCTGACACATTATCTAATGCGAAAGCGCCCTTTGTGGAGAGCCTACAATATGGGACTCTGCTTGCCTGCGTGCAGCACAGATGGCTGTGAGGTGATCCCTACATGCTCTGGGGACGAAAAAGCCTTGAACATATCGTGTTCTCTTCCTCTGTTATCTTTGCTGCTGATGACTTTTTGGGGGGAAGTAGTCAACACCGCCCACACACGTATAATTTCAAGTTGATTCGCTGCATGAATGAATCCTGACTCCTAATAACATTTTATACTGCTTGTTGTTTACTATAGTGACCTCTGCCGTATAACTTTTACCTGAATAAGAATAAGGTACCAATCAAGAGGGAAAACAGTCTTACAGCAACCTCTTAAATTGTGCAAAGAAATTTAAGTGTCATCAAAAAGACAAAATCCCCCGACACTCGTTTCACTTGGGCAGCAGATGAGATTAGAAGCAGATGTTTCAGCTAAATAAAAACCCGTAAATCTACTACAACAACATTAAAAACAAACAGCAACTTTATTTCTTAATGATATGTTTGAATTACTGTTAAAATAAAAGTTGAGGATTTTTTGTTTTTGTTTTGTTTTTTATTCGTCGCTTTGTCGGGCAGGCCTGTCTACGCAACATCTCACCGGCAGACACCTGAGCCAGCCAGCGAAGAGACAACCAGGTAGAAAAAAAAACAGCTTCATTTAACATCTATTTAATTCATGTAAAATAGTAAAAACTGTTGTTATTTTTATCATACCTTGTGCCTAAATTCTCGAGCAACTTTCCGCTCCATTGTTGAGAAACACCACAAAGCGGTCCGACGTGAGATCTCAGCGTTGGTCAAGTTTGACGGGAAGCGGCCGGAGGTCAATACGTCAAGGTAGTAGGACTGCAATCGGAGCTTCCGGTTAAAAATGTTATAGTGATATGCTTATTCGTCAAAATTAAAGGGGTCTTTGTTGTAAATATAGTCACTTTTAATATTGAAAAACATCGTGTCCACAAAATTTAATTGCTGTACGCTTTATTTCAAGCTCAAATTTATAATTAAGACCTTTATTTTGAAGGGTTGACTGTGTCGCTTGGACTTCTTGCTAAGTCTGATTAATTTGTTGATAATTAAACAAATAAATAAAGGATTGAATAAATAAACGAATTAAACACACGTCATCATATGTTTTTTTTAATAAATATATTCATGATAATAAAATATTATATTATATTTTTTAGGTTGTTGTCTCTACGGTCCCTAGGTGGCAAAATAACGTCTGTTACGGCTGAGTTCCTACGAAGAAGAAAAAGGGGCGGTAACTTCCTGATTTCAAAAGAACAACACCGCGGTGCTGCTAGACTGTTTAAAGTTGTAACGGGTGAGTAAAATTCAGAAGTATTTAAGCGAAAAGAAAACCTGGAAAAACGTACGACAGCTATATTGGTGCGCTATATAATATGACATTTCTTATTTCTCATGAATTCATCACCATGAAAAATAAAACATACCTACTCATTTTGCTACGACATGCTCTTTTTTATAGATTATTTTTTATGTGAAGTACAGGTTCTTTGTGACCAACTGAATCATTGACGTGGCCGTTTAATATGGGTTTAAAGCGTTAAATTATCCCTCGGCAAGAATAGCGGACTGGTTTTAAAAGTCCCGCTCCCCCTACCGCCCAGTGTGTGGCAACCGAGATACACGACTGGTATAAATTACCCTGTTAGCTCTGCAATCCACTCTAGAAGTTCTTTTAGTTGACGTATTCACCGGTTATGTAACGTGTCATAATAATTAGAAATACTGCAAAGGGTAATATTTTGCTTGTCCACCAATTCCTAATACAAGATGTGTTTATTTTTTTCTAATGATGTATTTCAGTATTTGTATAATTATATCTGTTCTGCTGACTCCGTTTATGCTCTTTACATAATTGGGCTCTTAAAGTATGTGAATATTAAGACCACAAAACTGTTTTAAGTGCTCATTATTTAAAAACAACTCATTATTCATGTAAACCTTTTAAGCATCTGTATATGTATTTTCCATTTTGTTTACAGTGTCTGCAACAGGATGGGGTCCCCAAAGAAACATGCAACACCACACAGGTAAAGAACATGCATTTGACACGCTGAACGCTGGACTTTTGTTGCCATAGCACAGAGTGAGCCAGAGTAATGCTTTTTACTTTAATCTCCCTAAATGATACTTGGATTTATTGTGACAGTCTGGTTCCCCTACTGTTACAGACTCATCCCACATGGATTAAGCGTTATTACCTAAATGGGTTTAAATTCCTGGGTAATCCTTTACGCAGTTTATATGTCATTGGTAAAGTGCTGTGATATTGTAGCTGTTACAGTTACAACCAAAGTGTGAGTCTTCAATGCCCAAATGTAAATTGTATGCCAGTATCATCTTCTTCAAAATGCTTCATGTTCTTTGTTTTCTTTTTCTGTTTTTCACCCACCAGGACTACTATTCGTACCCCGGGTCAGGAGCTTGACTCGCCACTCCCCCCTATTCACGAGCGTCTGGCGCAACTGCGTCCATCCAGAGAGCTTCTGGAGTTCTACAGACAGAAGATTGCCCAGTTTGATAGCGAGCACTTGGAGCTGCTGCAGATGCTGGAAAAGTATAAAAGCCTCACTGAAGATCAGGTGAGAGATGGGAGTCAATGTGAGAGGCTTTGATGTTAAGCCATTTGTGCCAAAGAATCTTTGCCTGACTAATCTTGCCTCCCTTCATAATGCCCTGAAAGCATAAGCTACAGTGGGAAATACGACAGCGCGAAGGAGAGATTGCAGAGCTTCAGAGTGCTCTGAGTGACATGCAGGTCTACCTTTTCCAAGAGAGAGAGCAGTCTCTGCGGCTTTATGCAGAAAACGACAGACTAAAGATCAGGTAGGTGTACAGTTCAACCTTAAGTATAGCATTTAATATTGATAAAAGTGAGTCACAGTGCCTGCAGAGAATGATTACTATTCTGTCGATAGTGATGAGTTACTTTACCATCTGGCTTACTGCAACTGACCAAGTATTTATTTTATTTTTTTACATATTTTTAATAATTAAAACCAGTGGAATGCACAGATATATGTTAACATATTTCGTTAAGAAAGTTGAAGCCTATACAAGTTATTCTTGACTGATAGCAGTAGGTGTGTGGCATTTGATATCTTGATAACTTGTAACCACCATTATCTGTTGTTGCTTCTGTGTATAAAACTTTATTACCATCTAGCCACTGTTTTACAGAGAGCTGGAGGACAGGAAGAAAATCCAACACCTTCTTGCTCTTGTGGGTCCTGATACAGGAGAGATGACATATTTCCACCGGGAACCTCCTCACAAGGTACGTGCTTACTTCATTGTAGGTCATTTTCTGAGTCGATGCTTTGAACTCAAATTTATAATCTCAGTAAGATACACTGGATTGGCTGGTGCTGCTAAACAGAACTACAGCATTTTTAATGATATTAGCAAAGTCCTTCTAAAAGCAAGCCTCCGTTTGGCTGTTATCATGGTAATGCAGTCAGGCAGTTGTTTAGGGTTATGACATTGAAGCTCCCAGAGTAGTTAAAAATACTGTTGTACTACTGTTATTGCTATATTTCAGGTCACTATCTCACAGAGGTACCCAGAGTCAAGACTGGAGGAAAGTCTCAGTCTTAGGCCAACAAAGTTGAGACCTGCTGCAACCAGGAAAGGTTTGAAAATATATTTTTCTACAAATAATATTATTTTCTTTCGTCTGATTATTCAAGAAAATGTGAATGTATTTTATTTGTGTTGTTGTTTTTGTTTGTTTTTAATCAAGTCATCACTACTTATGTATTTAAACCAGCCTTTTGTAATGACCATGCCGTTTTGATTTTATATTTAAGCAGAGAGTGGCAGGAGAACTAAATTTGCAGATAGAGAAAATGGAGAGAACTTGGTACAGTACAACAATGAAAAAGAGACATTGTTGCTACAGGTATGGGCCCACTTTATGTATGCTTGAAATGCGATTTCATTTATATGATCTGTTACAGAAAGTTAAACATTTCTTTCTCTTGTGTGTCCTGTGTTTACATTTTGTGGCACATGTCTCCAGGTGGAGGCGTTGCAGGCTCAAATGGAAGAGCAGACTCGCCTGGCCAAAGAGCAGGTGGACGCTCTGCTGGAGGATCGAAAGATTAAAGCAGAGGAGGCCGAGGCACAGCGGCAGAGAGATCAGGACCGCATTGCTGCTCTGACTGACAAGTTAGTCTTATAGTTTATGTAGTTTATGATGTCTGTATTTTTAGTTATTTATCATTGTGACTTATAGCTGTTTGTAAAACAAACCTCTAGACTTTTGTCTTCTGTGGCTGACATTAAATTTCCATTAAATTTCCAGATTTACTTTTATTTATCTCCTTTGACATGTCAGACTCCAGCGAACTCAGAACCTGTTGCATGAGAGCACCAGAGATTTTTTACAGCTAAAGTTTGACACACGAGCTAATGAGAAGAGCTGGATGGTGGAGAAGGATCGCCTGCTGAGGGAACTGGACTCCTGCCACAGCCGTCTTAGGAAGGCCAGGGGTGTCAGCACTGAGTTGGGGCGAACGTGGCAGCCCAGCAGCAGCACAGCCCTCCCTCAGCCTCAGTCAGAGTCAGATCAGCCACACAAAGAGGAGTTAAAGGTAACATTAACTATCTGTTTGTGTTCATGAAAGTCTGTAAGAAGTATTTCCTGATTCCATTTCGCGAGGTTGTATAAATGCCTTTTATTAATGTCTTCAGAATAAATCACAGTTTTTTGGCGAGTTCATTGTAGTCTCTGTTTTTTTCTTTATTCTTTTTTCAAACAGATATTGCAGGAGGAGCTGAAGCAAGCCAACCGTCTGGCAGACATGTACAGGGAGCAGTGCATTACTTTTGAAACAGAACTGTCCCAAATCAGAGAGGAAGGGGATGTGGGCAGGGAAATATTCAAGGTACACCAGTTTGATTGATGGTTCAGTCTGTACAAGCCTTATACACATCTCTGATTAAATGGTATCTGATGTTGATGGCGATCACCAAGTTTCTTTTTACTGATACCTTGCTTCTGTGTGCAGGAGCGTTCAGAGAAAATGGCCAAGCGCCTCCAGCTGATGACTCAGCGTTATGAGGCATTGGAGAAGAGGAGGGTGATGGAGGTGGAGGGCTTCAAGGCAGACCTTAAACTCCTCAGACAGAAACTCAAAGATGTAGAAAAACAGCTTCTGAAGGTAAAAAGATCAAACTGTGTGACCAATTGATTTTTATTAGAAAGTTATTTGTGATCTCAGCATGCCTGTGCTTGTTTTTACATATTATAAGCACTGTGAATGGCTTTAATTTTAATGAAAAACAAAGTTAAGCAAAACCTTCACCCATCTTCCTTCAATTTTTCCACCTTGCTCATGTCCAAAATCACATTTTAGTAAGTATTGACTGGGAGATTCTCTTTTCATCAGGTTACCTTGAATGTGGGGCCCAACCAGGACTTAGCCATCCTTCATGAAGTACGACAAACCAATGCCAGGACCAAAAAGGTTCAGGGCGAGCTGATGGCTCTGAAGGCAAAAATCTTTGGACTTGAAAATGAGCTAAGATACAGCTGAGAATAATGCTCTGATATTTTCTGTAATGTGTAGCTGTGTTTATCTCTGTTATGGCTGCTTATTCTGCTGTGTTTATTTTTAAAAACTAGACTAAATGTTGTTGATATTTTGTGCTTTGGACTAATAAAAATCGTAGAGTTATTTTAAATCAGTGTACAATCAGTTCTTTATATTTAATTAAAAAAGATGCAGCTTTGAATTTTTTTTACTGTGACAACCAAATTGTTGTCATTTTTATTTTTGGAATTGGGCA